CCAAGTGCTTAGAAATGGATTCCTTGAGGATCTGCTCCATGATGTTTCCAGGGACAGAGGTGAGGCTGACGGGTCTGTAGTTCCCTGGATCCTCCTTTTTCACTTTCTTAAATATGGTCATTATGTTTGCCCTCCTCAAATCATTTGGGACCTCTTTGCATTCACACCAGCCAACTCCCTCAGCACCCTCAGGTGCATTCCATCCAGCTCCGCTGACTTGTACACGTCCAGCTTTTCTAATTAAATCACTAACCAGTTCTTTCACCACTGCTGGCTGTTCACCTCCTCCTCAAACCGTGCTGCCCGGTGCCGTAGTCTGGGAGCTGACCTTGCCTTTGAAGACTGAGGTGAAAAAAGCATTGAGCACTTCAGCCATTTCTGCATCCTCTGTCACAAGGTTGCCTCCCCCATTCAGTAAGGGACCCACACTTTCCCTGATCCTCCTCTTGCTACTGACATACTTGTAGAAACCCTTCTTGTTCCCCTTCACATCCCTTGTAAGCTGCAACTCCAGTTGTGCTTTGGCCTTCCTGGCTTCATCCCTGCATGCCTGAGCAATGCTCTTATATTCTTTCCCTAGTCATCTGTCCAAGTTTCCACTTCTTATAAGCTTCCTTTTTGTGACTTAGTTTACTGGTGAGTTCTCTGCTAAGCCAAGCTGGTCTTCTGCCATACTTGCTAGTCTTCCTGTGCATTGGGATGGTTTGTTCCTGCACTCTCAGTAAGGCTTCTCTGAAGTACAGACAACTCTCCTGGACTCCTCTCCCCCTCAGACTGGCTTCTGCCAAACAAAGCACAAGTCCTGCACATAAAGTGATCTGCAGAGATGTGGAAATCTAGAAATTGCCTCTCTGTAGAATATACCAGGCTTGGGAATTACTTCTGTTATTACTATTTGCTTTGTGGTAGCACCTAGAAGGTGCATTCACCAAACAGAATTCCATTATGGTCTCCATTAGAGACAAATATGACACAAAAATCTTACAATCATGGAATATGACAACATACTTGGTGGATGATACCAACCAATGGGGAGAAAAAGTTTAAGAGTGAACAATAAACTGGCCAGGATACTATGCAACTGCCTCAGCATGTCAGCAACCCCAGTCACTGCTACAGATGGTTAATAAGTTTTCCAAACACCTTTGGGAGAACAAACAGTATACATTTACGGTTGCAATCATTATACTTTAATATAGCTAGCTCTTTGGGACTTCTTGCAATACCATGACAGAGAACTACCTATGGAGGTGCTTTTTGCCTACCAAAGACTTAAAAGCATTGTGAGCTCAGGTTTGCCTGACTACATTTTGTAGGGAAAGTGACCTCAAGAATGACATTGCCTAAGTTTCAGTGTTGTGTTTTCATTAATGGCAGAAATAAATTATATCTGTGTTGTTGGAGAACAGTAAAACATACTTGTGTTCTAAAAGACTTCAAGGTAAGGAGTCATTATTTTGTTTAAAATTTAATTTCATAGGCTATGGTGGAAAGTTTCTCAAGAATCTATTATCAGACTTTGACTACTTCAACAAGACACATATTAAGCCAGGGCCACAGTGTCTTACAAGTACTCTAATCTTTTATTTATATAGAGCAGATATTGACTGCCCCAGACCTTTACAGAAGCAGTAACTATAAGGAATAGGCTTAACATTTAATAATGCTTCAGGGTAAAAAAAAATATCCTTGGACAAAATTAACTTAGCCTTAGCGAGTCAAGAACGCCAGTTTTTAAAACTAAGGGATTTAAAGATTATGAGAGGATTTGAACCCATCTGTCACATTTGGCCTGATTTCATTTTGTAAAGCTTTCTTAGTCAAACTTCACTAAAAAGCTTGTCAACATGTGACTATTTTTAGATGAGCTCATTTTACTTGCGTCTTTGATGTACTGTTTCCTAAAGGGAAAGATTTATAAGCAGAGACATTAGGAATATTGAGTTCACTGAAGCTGCAAGTTATTAATATCGTACACTATAAAGGCCAAATCAACATGCAAAACTGCACTACAAGTCCCAAATTTTTAGTGAAGCCTTTTCTTTTTCAATTTGGAAAATAGATATACTTGGCATCTAACAACTTATTATTTAACAAAATGTGAAATAAGCATTGTGAAAAATACTGACAGTCATATGTGGAATGGTGGATTTAGAGGGAAATAGTTCATTTAAATAGATTTTTAAGGCCATCTTTTTCTACTCCTTAATGCACCTATGAGTGTATCATTTAAGTGCAAGCATTCACATTCTTCTTATTTAAAGAGTTTATAGCTCTAATCTAAAGGGAAATAAAATACATGCTACAGAAGCTTCATGTTACTCCCATTTACTCTCAAGAGATGGCCTTTAAAATTGCCCTAAACATATGCACATAAACATGCATAACTAGTTTTGTCCTCGTATAAATGCAAAACAATTAAGCACAGAGCCTTTTCACAGTCAAGGTCCAAAGACAGGTTTCAGTGCATCAAGTACCTGAAAGACTTAACCTTTCAAAATCCCTTGCTGACACTTAGCAGAACCCCACATGCCTATGATTACAGATGGTAAGCACTTCAGAGTCAGCCAGAGGATACATTTTGTTGGAATCCAGCAATGCTTCCTGCTGGAATAATAATAAGGGGACAACTATTACAATTTTGAGGTCAAAGTATGATCTCTTCTGTTTTAAACTATGTTTTGTGTAGGCCACTCTCTGTATTCCATATATTCTGGAAATGGTTTGATCTTCTCATCACATTACAAGGAGTCTGGCATAAGAAAAATACCACATAAAATATATTTTATGCACAACAGAAGAAGATGTTACCAACACAATCGTCACATCACTGAATAGCTGAAGAACTTGAATTCTGAACATCTGCTGCAATTAATTTTAAGTGCACACATTCTTCACTGTACTTGTAATCAGATCACACTTCAGGAACAGGTAGTACCATTTACTTCTTTTGTAGTAAACAAGTGACATGATTAAAACATTGAGCTGGAACTGGCTTAGCATTTTAATCACTGGAGGTGTCTACCTGATTGTGGATCTAAATACTGGCTTTTGTTTACACTGTGCTCCACAACAATATTATTTTTTTAAAAGATTATATATCAAATGTTTTTGTTTTTATAAGTTGCTCCTCATTTCTTCATGACTGCTGCACTTTAGCATTTAAATCCCCAGATATTCTGATATTTGCATTTTGCTTTTTTGTCCTTCAATTCTAGTATCCAAACACTTGTTTTTATAAGGAGAAAAGTTATTTTCTCTTATTTTCAAAAGTTATTCTTATGTGTCCAACAAGAATTGTCAGTTTTCTTAATCATTTTTTCTTCCTAACAAACCAAAGTGATTTGTTAAGATTAGTTAGCTTTGGTAAAAAAGATAACAGCTCTAGCAAATAATCAAAATTTTGGAGAAAGCCAGTCTGTAAAGTTTCAAAATACACCAACCCTGAGGTATCCAAACTCTGTCAGTGTAACTGGGGAAGGCGTGATTGACCTTTCAAGGCCTGTTTTATACACGCCCCCCGAAAAAATTTAAAAAGGCAATAATTAAAAAAAATGTTTTTTTGGCACATCTTATTTAAGTACTTGCCCATTCAAGTACTCATCAGATTCATGGTTGTTTAAATATACTTCATGTATAGTCTACAAACAGCACTGTGAGTTGCTTGAGAACATCTGAAACCTAAGAAGATAAAAGACTCACACTGATATATCGAGTAAGAGTCTGTACAAGTGGATAAAGTAATTCAGTACTGTAAGAATTTCAAGGAACTAAAACTTAAGTATAAATGTGTAAGCCAAAAGATATGGAAGTAGCAGCACTTGGTTTCCAAATCTGACTTAAAGAAAAAAAAACTCAGACAATGGCAATTTTTAGCAGATTATTTAGGAGGATTATCAGTGTGACAGTGATGTAGTTAGCCATGATAGTCTGTAATCAAGCAGGAGGCAAGGTAGATTTGCATTTTATAGACTAGGGGTGTCAAAGAAACAGTCCACAGAGCCATATAATCCGGCCCTCAATGCTGGCTAATATAATACAGTATGTGCACGGAGGCTATCTGGTGTGGGCTGCACATGGTGCAAGGCTGCTCCAGGGTGTGCTGAGTGTGGTGCCCACCCTGGATCAGCCATGCTAGGTCTGGGGCCAGTCTGGATCAAGTCCAGAGACTGGCCCCTATGTTGGATCTAGCACACAGGGCCAGTCTGGAACTGGCGCATGCTGCAGTGTGCACAGCCAGTCTTAGGTACATGCTGCATGTGGTGCCTATGCCAAACTGACCCTGCATGCTGGATTTGGGGCCAGTCCAGATCAGGCCCATAGGCTGGCCTCACATGCTGGAACCGGTGTGCAAGGCTGGTCTAGTACAGGTGCCACATGCAGCACATACCCCAGACCAGTACTGCGTGCTGTGTGTAACTGCATTTCCCAAACTGGCCTCAGGCCTGTTAATTATAGGTAGACCCTTATGTCTGCGCAGAATCCCTATGATATCAGTAGAGTTCTAGAGATACAGTCAACTGGCCTTGCAGGCCCAATTGAAAGATCAAAAGCGTTATAAAATATGTGTGCGCAAGTCTTTGAACGCATGCAAACACAGATACTGCTCTCGCTATTTTAATATAATTAATACTGTTTTCAATATTGAAACAAATTTAAGTCTCCTTTTGTTTCTCCTTATTTCTGTTGGTTTCTCCTTATATTCTGTTTATTAATTGCTACTTTAATGAGGTCAGGCAAATCACAGTTTTGGATAGTCTACAAATGAGGCAGATACTTTTGGTAAAAAAAGCCCGCCCCGAATATTTAAGGGATTAAAATGTAAAATATTTAGGACATTACTCGTAATTCGTCATGCACTATTAACTGTCTTGGAAAATCATTTCTGACATTCTGACTAATTTTCAGGACAAAGTTCAAATTTCCTAACAAAAGCACTAGTAACTTAAAGGAAAGCTGACTCATTTTTCCTATTGCAACACACAAAGACATGCAAATACCTGCTTCATCATAAGACACGGTCAGTTTTTCCAACATTTCTCGGTCAATTGATAGAATCTGCTGTTCCAGGATGGTTTGGTAAGACAACACACTGTTCTCTTTGTCTCTCTCATAGTCCTGAAGATGTTGTTTCAGGACTTCAGGCAGGCGGGACTTGACATATTCTGCTGCTGACTATACAGAAAAAGAAGCAAAGGCACCCATTATTACCTTGTACATTTTCTTCTAGGCTGCTTTTCTTATATATCCACACATATAAAACCCTCTTAATTTAAATTAGAAGGAAGAGGAAAAAAATCCTGACTTATTTAAAGAAAAAATGGTGGTGGGTAAGGGACTGATTTTATGCTCTTCCTTCTAATTTTTCAGCTTCTTTGTAGAATGCCCCCACACATGCATATTTGTGACCATTAATGCTGCCACATTCATAAATTTATCACAAGCAGTATGATTTTGGCTCCAGCTTCAGGATTTCTCACTAGAAATCATAACCGACATCAAGATTCCACTGTGCCAGGAACAGCATGAACACATAACAAGACAAAGAACTAATGATTTAGTACAAAACATGGTGATGAGTATGTGATTACGGAACAGAAGGTGAGGCCTAATCTTTCAGGAAAAAAACCCCAACAAATACCCATTAAAGGAGAACAGCATTTAACACCTAGGTTTCGGTCATTTACATCCTGAAATTCCAGGTCTATAGAAGACTGAGGCTTTATGAGCTGGTTTTGCAATCAAGAATGAACTCATAAACCTACTATTGGAATTAATGGGCACCTCGTGAATCTCCATCTTAAACTGATGGGGAGCCAATAGCTACTCATCAGTGTGTATGCCCCGACTCTTGACACCACTGATGAAACCAAAGAGGAACTCCATGCCAACCTTGACCAAGTCCTTTCTGACGTTCCAGAGGGAGACAGACTTATTCTTCTCACTGGTTTCAATGCCAGAGTTGGAAGGGACTCAAACCACTGGAATGGAACCCTTGGCAAAGGAGGAGTAGGAAAGGTCATCCAACATCAATTTTACTGCGCTGGCTCCGTCATCCGGATGTCTGACTCCAGACTTCCGAAACAAGTTTTATTCTCCCAGCTCTGTCAAGGCACATGCTCAAGAGAAGGGCAGAGAAAGCTCTTCTAGGACATCCTCCTCAAGGCCAACTTTAAAAAAAATGCAACATCAACATCAGTTCGTGGGAGACTATTGCCCAGGACTGCCCAAAATGGAACAAGAATCTGCTGCAAGGATGTCAGTACTTTGAAACCTTATGACAACAACAGGAGACGGAAAAGTCAGAGCGGCAAAAACGCTTGCAGACCGAATCAAGGTTCCAGAGCCACCCACCCTGCATGGAAACATGCTCAAGTTATAGTAGAGTCTGTCGATCCGGAATTGGCCTTTGTCAGCCATCTTCAGACCCACAGATAAGACAGTCATCCTCGACTGTGAGGGATTATTGAAGGAGAGAAAAGGAATATCTAGGCTTGCTAGCATAGTTGAGCACACAGCAGGCAACCAAAACCACCAAATCTGAGGAAGTTCTGAATAATGAGTAGCTAGGTCCATTCATATTAACAGAAAGGAAAGGGAAAGCTCCCTTTCTTTTCAGAACTTTATCTACTCAGAGTGACAAGCCTTACTGAACTGACCCCTTCCCAAGACCATCAAGAAACTTGCTTCGATCAGTTCTCAAGAGGTTAAAGCTATGTACAGACACTATGCTTATCATGCAATAAGTGTGTAGAAAGTGCTCGACAGCCATAACTATCGAGCACAGATGTTCATGGCACAGAGTGCTTTAAAATGGCATACTGTGCTCTAAGTTAACCCTGGATGGATGTGGTATCAGACTAAAGCACTTTATCAAATGTCTTTACCATATGTCATCATGAGTCAAGGTAAGTCACATTCTGCTGGCATTCCAATGGCTCCTGAGCCAGGAAGTTGCAAGGGGGAGGGAAGGGGGCCAGGGGGATGCCCACAGAGCAGGGGGGGTTCCATTCCCTGGCCCGTTACCAGAGCAGCAAAAAGCTGGGTTGGGCAGCCTTGGGCTGCAGCTCCTGCCTGCAGTTGTCGGAAGGCTTGGGTGGTGTCAGTTGGGGGGGAAGCCTGATGCCCCCAAGACCAGAGCCAGCAAGCTGTGGGGCATCTGTGCAGCAACGGGTTCTGTTCCCTCCCTTCCCCCCCACTCGCTGCTGACAGCCACCAGCTGGTGGGGGGCGGGCAGGGCTGGGGCAGGGAGAGGCTCCTTGAGCAGCTTCCTGGGAGGGTTGCAGGAACAACCCCAGCCTGCTGGCCTCAGCCACTGCAGGCAGCTTCCATGGCCTCCCCCCTCCCCAAGGTGAACATCAGTTCTGTTCACTCCTGCACTAATCCAGGGTGCTTTGACTATACAGCGATACTTATAGTGCTTCTGCCTCGGGTTTCCTGAATGTCTGCACTTAGCCACAAAGAACATGGAAGTTCTCTGAAATGTCCAGTCCTTCTGACTAGCAACAAAGCCCCTAAAACAGGTTAGATCTTCCCAAGCCAGTTTTTTACACTTGGCCCTGTGACTTCAACAGGAAATGGGAAGAAAGTTTGGTGAAAAACTTGTCTCACATCCTTTTCTTCTGTTACTGTGCTGATTGGTTAATGCTAGGCTAAGACAATCAAATTATATCATCTGAACCCAAATGAAATTTATGTGAAATTAACTGGAAAAATGGTGCATTTGGCAGGGGGTCAATCAGCTAATTGGCCAGTAATCAACTGATCTCCTCTAAGCAAAAGCTTTAATGAAGAAGCTGAAGATGAATCTGTATATGGGGTTTACCCACAGTACCATATTGTGTTAAAAAGCTTATTGTGTTAAAAGGAGTTACTGAATGAGTATTCTTCCATATATAAACATTTAATCCTTGTTTTCAAGAATTATCTTTTGTTCTGTATCTGTAGAAGACCAAGCATAATGGAGTTTTAGCCCACTGCTGGAACACCCAGGTGCTAGTACTATACATTTATTAGAAAAATCCAAATTATTGCAAATCTCAACTGCACCTTTGGAGCTGCTGTGACAGCCATAATCAGAACCTGAAAGCACTATATTTAAAATGATACTGCTTATAAAAGGCTTAGTCTGAATAAAATAAAGATGGAATTAGTTATAACAGCATCATCCTTCCAAGCATATTCACAGCTTCCATTAGTTTTACTGGGATTTATATGCATGTACTGCAGGAACAACCCTCTACAGATTTGTAATGAATCAGGGATATACTGAAGTGACTGGATTCTCCTTTCTAATTGAAGCATACTTAAACTCCTCAGCAGGAAATTTATGATGTAGCATTTGGTTTCAGCAATTCAGTATCAATTACCCACACTTGACTAGACATTTACAACAATAGCTAATTTTGTTATGGTATCCATCTACGTTTTAAAAATATTAACTTAGAAATTAGTATCTTTTCCCTGAATTTAAAACTACTTATAAATCATACAAAGGAATCACTTTGGCCACTATTAAAATGTACCCAGATCTGGAAAGAAAGTAGTACTTGCTTTTTAACAGGATTCAGGAGCACTACGCAAAAGTATTCTTTTTCATTCTCTTTATGTTCAACCAAGGCCATCAAGAAACTGAAATTAACACAAGGTGGCATGGTTGTACCAAGTTAGAGAGTCCCAAGATAAAACTGAACTGACAGTCAATAATGATAGAGTTTGCCCCTAGACAGGCATCTATATTACTAAAATCAGTTGCTATTGAAACCAATAGTTTCTCTTGTCACTAGTGTCACGAAAAAAGATTTAGTGGCCCCAGAGTGTCAATGACATTATATGGTCCCTTCAGATAAAGCTTGAGACACTGGGTGAGGCTGTGATTGGGAGAGAGACAAACTCTCTCCTGTTTTCCACTGCTAGTACCTTTACTAATACTATATTCACTTAAACAGAAAAACCTTCTCTCTTGGCATCTATTTTTTGCCTCTTTGATAACCAGCACAGCTGGAAAGGAAAGATGTGGCAAAGGCCTTGCTCACTATTTGGGCTCCCCTGCCTGTTTCAAAACAAAAAAACAAGATTATATTTCAGGCCTGAGACTGACCAGAAATCACCTCTGGAGTTTAGCATGCACACTCCAAGGTTTATATTTGTTTTCTCTAAGTTAACTGTTGATTAAATTACAACCTTAAAATATGACTGAAGTTGTGTCCAACTTCTCTGCAGGTCTGGCAGTGCAGAATGAATTAAATTATTCCCCCTCCCCCTGCAAAATGTAGATAAATTTACTAAATAAGCCCAATGTACTGAATGCTAGATTTTAATATTTATTTATTTTTTTTGGATTTCTTTGTAAGGCAAAAAGATACACTACATAGTGTCCATTTAGTCTCACGACATAATTATCAAGTTCAGATATAATTACTTAATTTTTCCTTAGAAAAGACTGTATGCTGGCCATAGGAATATTTTTAATATAATCCTTATAGAGACTATTTTAAAGAGAAGGTATCAGAGAATAGGAGACTATCCTCCTCCTCCTTGGAATACACAGCAGTTCAATCCGTGGACCAGCACTCCACTGGACTAAGTGCTGTACAGATATAGAACAAAAAGACAGACTGTAAATCCTTTGGGACAGAGACCAAGTGTAAGGGAGGTAACAGATAGAGATAGATGAGGGAGCACAAACAAACAATGAAATGGTACTGGAGAACACAACAGAGAGTAGTTACAGAATACATGCAGCCAAATAGTTGTCGAGATTTTTATAGGCATCATAGCAAGATGTTTTAAAGGAGAAACTCTGGCTGGAACACCCTTCTTACAACAAAAATACACATACATAATTCATATCAAAACTATAGTACAGTCCCTTCAAAGCTTGCTAAATTAAAACCAGCCGTAATTTGAAAATGATCTAATGCTTTAGCATTTATTCTAGTTACCTTTTCTGAAAGATTCACACAAAAAAGCTTAAAAGGGTTATATTTTTAATATGTAAAGAAACTACTGTCAGACTTAGGTGCTATTCTTAAAAGGGGAAATTAAAATTGGACTGTTTTTAATCTTATGAAAAACAGGCAGACTGCCTGGTCATAAATACTGTTTGATACCAAGAACATATGAATCAGTCAGTTTATAGGGTGACCTAAAAACAAATCAGTAGGGGAGCCTAA